ATTTCCCCCAGAAGGTGAGATCACAAGCCCGCAGAAGGCAGAGTGGCATGTTTTAAAGCGATGGACAAAATACAAATATTTGAAAATGTATTTCATGGTAATTATGTCAGGTTTCATGGCCTTGGCACAGTACTGAGGCGCAGCCTGGATGCCTTAATTTGTATAGAAACTGTAATCATTTGTTCATTTCAAGGTGAAAATTGCATTTTTTAATTTAAATTGTATCCTGCGTGATAGGCTATTATCTAGAAAAATTGTCGCTGTGTATGGCGGTCTATGCCCCGCCGTCACGCCTGTTTGGTAGCCCACCTCTCCTGAGAAAGGGCTTATATATGAATCTCCTGACTGAATGCACCCAGCTTGTTCTTCACTAAGGGCCGCCACTCCACTCATTTCCATTTTTGTTATTAATATTAATTAGTTTGAGAGCACAGCTCAGATTGTGAATGTTAAACAAGCTCGGCTTCACACTGATTTTTATCTCTCAAAGATTTCTTAGATTTACAACTTTACTTTTACCCCTCTTCTTTCTTTCTGAAACGCTGCTTTAAGGGAGGATTGTGTGTATTTGTGTTCACACTATTGGAATAAATACGTCAGATTATTCAACACAAACTTAATATAAACTTATTTAACAAAACAAAGGTAATTTATTTTCTAACTGGGACACATTCCTGATTAATCATGAGACTCTAAGCTATGACAATACCCTCTTTAAGCTCTAGCTTTTTACTTATACATGACAGATTGTCTGTCTATAATACCTGAGAGAGGTAACCATGAAATCTGAAATACCTAAAATGTTCTGAAAATAAGATTTTCTCCCTATGAAAAACACGCAGTTGGGCAGGAGATATATGCACAGCAAGCTGTGCGTCTGTGTCTGTGTCAGTGGGATCCTCGAGGTGACGAGCACAAAGCTGAGGCTCAGGTACACGGCGTATGCTGGCATAATTACAGGATTTGGGGGATTATTATACTGTAAGTGCTTTCATGGCGACAGCTGGGAGCTTTTTTACTCCCTGTGACACATAATCTCAAAGAATAAAACCAAGACCCCCAGAGCATCTCTTAATCATTTCTTAGCATACCTGCACACGGCTCTGAACTCTCTTTCTGAAGAGAGATTTGTAAAATTAGAATATAATTATCATATCGGCTATAAATCATTCTAAAGTCATGTTTTCAAAGAAGCATATTCTTTTAAATGGAGACATTTGCTGGCCTCTTTTTCTCCACAGAAGGCCCCAAATGATTGCTTGTGTCCCTTATAGTTTTCTTCTTCTTTTTCTCCCTCGGCCTCGCTCTTCAGCAGCAGGTTATTTATCACAGCATGACCAGGTTCAAGAGCCCGCTCCCTAAATGAGATCTGAATCAGAGCCTCTATTCCATGGCTCGATCAGAAATGTGGCTATGACCGGGCTGAGGCTGTGGCTCCTCTATCGCTGCCTCCTGAGCGATAGGGACTCCTGGTTCTCTACACTGAGGCTCAGGAGTTTCATTTCCATCCCTGTGATCTAAACAAACCCATTACCGCCCAGCCATTTATACACAGGGGCAGTACGCGAGCCCTGGGCCTGAGGACACAGCCCCAAAGCTAAGCTACCGTGGCACAGAGACACCTTCAATGGCCCCTGTGTCCATATAGAGAGAGAGAGGAGCCCGGGCCTCTGCACTTTATCTAAACCACTCCAGAGAGGCGAGTGGAATCGGCTCTTGTGGGCTCTGTTTATCCTCTGCTCCTGTAGTCAATCAATTAGGGGATCAAAGGAGGAGATGAGGGAAGTGTCACAAAGCTCTCCCACACACCAGCGCCTGAGCTGCCACCTCGTCCAGCATGAGTGACAGCAGACAGCGAGGAGACAAAACTCCTCAGCCGGCACCTCAGAAGACGAGCTGGAGCAAAGGGGACAACCATAGCACACGGAAAGGCCGAATCTGGACAACCAGAACACAAACTTTTTAGGGGAATAAATGAGACAAGACAAACAGCTACCTGACAATGCTTTTTCTTAAATTTCAGGTTGAACTCTGTGCTTTGGAATCAAATGAGTTTTAATATATTCCCTGTCTTATTGCCATGCAACTCCAGAGCCTTGTATAATTTTTCCGCTTAAATGTGTGTTTTGTAATTAGATGCTTGCAAGAATTTCCATTTGCATCCAATCTAACTGAGCCGGGATGATTTAAAGAGGCGATAACACTGCGGTTTGTAGCTGATTTGAATCTGTAAATCTAGAGGGAAAACTAAATATTCTTCAGCTATTTATACTCACTGAGCTGCTCAAATCTATTGAATATTAAACAAAGTATGAAATATGAATGATTGTTACCTCATGAAGACTAGATACAAGTTTGTTTCAGGTGACTTCTCAGTTTAATTAGCCTCAAATTTATCTCAAAATACAATTTGATGTTAATGATGTTGATACTTGTGATAAGTGATGCCTTTAATTACTTACATTTAATTGAAAATCAACAACATAATGTTGCTTATTATTTTGTAAAATGTGAAATATATACATGTTTTTCTGTTTTTTTCTACGTTACACAACATTTAGTGTAGACATAAATGTTGTCTGCAGACATATCAGACATGTTTGAGATGTGTTTACAACCAGGCAGGACTGAATGACCATACCCACGCCGTGTTTGAAATACTTCCAGCAGTGCTGGAGGGATAAAAACTGAATGAGCCCAACTGTTGTGAGGTGTAATATAAGACACAGCGGATGCTTCCACACCACACCGGTTAGTTCCCCCGCATTCACACCATACCACAGAGATTTGCAGACAACATTCCCTCGGACAGCGCTGCTGGTCAGATGGCAAAATGAATGACTTCCTACAGCTGCACGCAGACATGCTCAGAGTCTGTTTGTCTGAGTGTGGAACGTCTGAGCGCTCATCACTCTCTAATCACGTCAGCAGCTCTGGAACACTCACTGCTGACGACTCTAATGTGTCTGCACACACACAGAGGACATGAACGTGTGCATGCAGAGGCAATATCCATGTAGGCCTACTTGTATAGGGATTTAAACAATATGCAAACACAAACCCAAGGCCTGGAAAAAAGCATTCATTAGAGCTGCTTTTTATGACTTATCATTGTATCTCTACTTATAAAGGTCAGATTTCCTGGAGTCATTCTTTTGTCCAACAGACTCGCAAAAATCTCAAAATATTCACTTCTAAACGCGTTGAAAAGCAGTCATTACAGACCAATACAAAGAAAGTTTTTTTTTTGTTTGAGAAATATCTAAATGATCATAATTTAGTTTGAAAGAAACGTTTGAATTTAGTTTGATCAATTAACTTTTTATTTATTTTATTAGAAAAGGTACCCTTTAAATTATTACAAATTAAATCCTGCTGTTTGATGAGTTGATTGAATCAGAGTTAGCTTAAAGCAAATCATAAGCATTGCACCATTTAGTTAGTTATTAAGCAGCACTGAATAAACCAGACGATAACACACACATACCACAGAGTAACAAAGCAATACATCACACACACACATTCACACCAGCAACACATGTAAGTTGAGATAAACGCAATGGTGTGAACTCAATGTTTACAGAGTTGATTATCTCTTTACAGATAATTCACTGACATATACACAGACACACACATATGGTAAAACTTACTGGAAACAGGAAACATGCAGTTGAAGTCAAAACTCAGGTTAAAAAAAGAGACCGATGGCTGAATCAGTTTTGGATCTTTAATTGATAACAGTTACGCCAGTGTTACAGTAAACACACCAACAGGCTGAAGGTAGTAAATACCAGTACAAGTTTCCCACTACTCTAATACTTCATACAGCAGAATAAATTATACCATGATAATATACACACATGCGGAACAGAAGAAGGAAGTAAATGCAAAGCACAGATGTAAGAAAGCAACTAAACAGGTTAAGGGTCAAACAGACAGGGGGAAGGCAGGGAATAAAGGAGCTTTAAATATCCAAATCTTTACTGACGCAAGTGTTAGAAATGGGTTTGATACACTAAAGACAATTCTAAAATTTTTCCTTTTTAAAATATACAAGAGTGAGGCGCCTAAGCGAGGGAGCAGCTCGGACTGCTGCAGTTCAGTGCGGAGTCAGCGTTTCTGTGACTTTGTCTCTCCTGGAGTCTTATTGGTCCAACAAATCAAACGTGACTTGAGTCAGTTTCCCAGAGCGGAGAGGACTTCTTGGCCAGCTTCATTGTTATCCTCATTGTGCTTGTGAACCGCTGGTGGACTATCACACCAAAGTCTCAGAGGGTCCAGGGTCCAGTCAAGTCTGGTCTGCACTCATGTATGCAGTCTTTAAGATCAGGTGGTCTGAAACACCTGCAAAATACGCATGAGGACGCTTCGTTTAACCACCTTTAAATATACATTGGTCCCTGTGTGGTCCATGGAGTTCAGTTTGAGCTCAGTTTGATCCTCTTTTGTACAACTGGAACATTTTTAATGGAATTTATATTTTACTAATTTATACAAATTCATTCTTACATGGGCCCCAAAAAAACCAAAAAAAAATTTTGGTTAAAAAAAAGAAAACCAATTAAATACAATTTAAAAAAAACTGAACAGCAAACAAGCCAGATAAGGAAACTGAAATCAAACATTAACTTCCACAGAGATCCCTCACTTACCTATCACTCATCATAGTTCTGTTTTAGTATAAAACATACTTTTTTATAAACAAACAATACACAATCTGCTCCAGCTACTGTACAGGGTTCAGGTTTTAAAAGCGACCAAGGACCAAATCCTTTCCGTATACATCAGCATCATCACATGGATGCTGGTGTAAATAAAATAAAAAAATCATACACATCTCAAGGGAACAGCTGGTCCTGGATCGTGTCAAAAGTCAACTATGAGTGCTACACAAATGTCTCATGCCCGCTAGTCCTTAATCTTTTTTCTCATTTTTGTACATTTCCGTTAGGATTAGAAGAGGGCTCCGGTCTAAAACCAGAGATGGGGGAGGGGGGGGGGGGGGGGCAATCAGCGGTGTTACCTGTGCCCTTTCACTTCTGACTGGATTACAAGATTTTCCACAGTGCATGTGAATGGCACAGCTTGTGTAGTTTTTAATCTCATAACAGAGAGCGTTGGAATGCTTTTAGTATATTTGTAGACGGAGCGTGAGGAATGTTTAGAGGAATGCTTATTGAGTCCGAGAGAGTGGAAACCAGCTGAAGGTGCATTTACAAAATGTGCTAATTAGGCTCTAAAAACAGAAATACTGAATAGTAATAAGACGGGTCACTGTGAATTAGCTCTGAAATTATTTCTGTGTGATTTAATCTGCTTTAAAGTCACACAGGGTTTCCTGGCAGATGGGATTTGGGGGGAGGGGGGGGGATTTGAGTTAGCCCTCCTTGGCAAGGTCCATATTTCTAAACAAAATACATTAATTTCCCCAATCCTGTTTTTGCAAACAATACCCCCCTCCCCATGGACCGCAGCTAAGGATGGGATGGAGGTTAGAAGGGGAAAGCTTTTGGCGGCCAAAACGTTGCTTTAATTCCCTGCAGAATCCATCCAGCCAGACTTCCCACCGAGTGGCCAAGTTCTTTAGGAATGTCAAGACGAATATGAAAGTGGGAAGGTCAAATCGCTCATGAACATTAGAGCTCAGGGAACAGGCAGAGGAGCAGCAGCAGCTTGGAAAACAATCATCCTCTCTTTTGAGACTGTGTGACACACAGAGAAACATGCACACGCAACAGACACACACTCTTAAATCATCTCATCCGTGCTGTGTTTTACGAACCAACATCTAACAGGGAAAAAGTGATACAAGTGGAATCAAAGAACAACATAAATCACATTAACCATAATCATATAACAGCAACAATAATCTTAACAATATCAAAAAGGAACAAGAAGAAGAGTCGTTCAAATGATATTGGCTTTGTTAACTACTATGAACAGCAAGGTCAAAGTACATGTTGTTGATGGCTCTGAATGTGTGCTGGACTGCAGCCATGATAAAGAGGGAGAAAGGCCAATGTGGCCGACAATCCCCGGGTGCTTCGGGGTCCTGTCTGGCCTTCTGAGCTAAACAAAACAGGGTTTCTGGGCTGGGAAAGGAGTATAGGAAGCAGGCAGAGACGCCGAAATATGAATTAGAACGGGTGCAGGGCCGCCTGGTTGTTGCCAATGGCGTGAAAAAGTTTGATTCCCTTCCCAGAAGTGCCTTCTCACACCTGCAAAGCGTCACTGTCTGCTGTGTGTCTGTGCGCTGATGTCATGGCTGCAGAGCGAGCTGGAGTTTGAGTCCAGACTTGATGGAGCATGAGGGTGGCAGAGGGTGAAGAAGGTTGGTGCACACAGGTTCCAGAGGGTTTCAGTAGGCCTGTCCCGTCTCCACCTGTAGAAGCCCCAGCACAGCTGAGTGGTCCCCAAGTTTCATCCTCCTCTGGGTGGACAAGCTGACGTTCTTCGCCAGGTAGTCAACAGCAGCTACACAAACACACACACACACAAATAAAAAAAACAAAACAGAAAAAAAGTCAGACAGGTGATTGATTCCTGACACATTTGTCCCATTCAGTCTCATTTCACTCCTCTGATTAAGGCTGAAATAAGTTGTGGCAGAAGCGAATGAGTCAAATAAAAAACAATTCATGCAGAGAGAGTGAAAGATAAAAAACCCCTCCCATGTCCTCTTGTCTGAGGTTGGCACACTGCTGGCACAGAGCATGTGCATCCTGCTAAAAGTCTCTGCGCTGTCACTCACTCGGCTCCCCGTGTGTGTTCTGTGTGCCAGTCTTCATTACACTTGGCATCTCTGATTTCATGCCCTCCACACTCCACATGGCCGATCATTTTCATCGTCAGACAGCAGCTCTCCCCTCTCTCCTCCATTCATTACCCATCTACTGTGCTCAATCACCATCTTAATTAACCTCACATCAGCTCACATCCGCGCTGCCATCAGTTGGTTGCTGCCGACAAAAACACTGCTGCGCGTACATACACGGGACGGATCTGCACATGCATCCATGCACAACCCAAACCCATTATAAAAAAAGACAAAAAGCTGCACTAAATACAAACAAATGTTAGCTAGCTAGCTTTTTGAGGAAGTGTGCTTCATTTTACCTCCCATGAATGGCTGTGACAGCATCAGTCAATTATGCTAATCTAATAAAGCAAACTCTTTCCTGCCCCAAGGCTGTGTGTGTGTGTGTGTGTGTTTGCATGTGTGTATATATGTGTGAGAGTGTGTGTGTGTGTGTGATGGAGAACAGAGAAAAGAGGGAGAGAGAGCGAGGTGGGCAAGAGGACACTGTGGCCCCTGAGGGTGTGCCGTTACTTTGAAGTGGCCCTCTCCTCTTTCCCATCCAAGTGGAGTGGGGTGTGACTAAGGCAGCTCTCGAGGAGGATGGTGGTGGTGGTGTTAGTGGTGCTGTTGGGGGGTTGGGGATTGGGGGGGGGGTCTTTATCAAGAGCACGTGGCTTTCTCCACCAACAAGAGTGCAAAGGTCAGAAGGCTCTCTTGCCTGGGAGTTGGGCATCACTTCACAGGTTTTTTTAGCACCGAAACAACTTAAAAGGAGCATGTAAAAGCGCTTACTGCTTTTGTTTAGGACACTTTTGTTTGGAAACAGAAAGAGACAAAAAGACCTCTTTGATATACTTGAGTTTTTATAATAATGATACAAGTTTCAGCATTGATATCAAATGCAGCTTTAAATTTGTTATAGGGTATTATAAGTATTCTAGCTGATGCATAGACCCAATACCCTATTAGCCCCCCAAAGTCAACTGGTTTCAGTTAAATTGTGGATATAACAAACATGTTAACAATAAGTGTTTTTCCACCAACATCATGGATATATTTTTTAACAGCACCGGAATCAAAGGGATAGTCGGTATTGGCCAATACTTAAGTCTATCAGTATCGGTATTATATCAGAAGAAGAACATCTCTGGCATTTCCCCCCAGGGACAAATAAAGTTTTTGGAATTGAATTGAATTTGCAGAAACTCAATCTAAACACAAGCATGCAGAGTGTATAGGTATCAATACATGGTTTACTCACTCTGCCCATATTGGCTGTACTGGTAGCCTGCAGTGACAGGGTCCACGCTGTAGCTGGTGGCGCTGTAGGTGGGGGGGCAGTAGGACTGGGAGGAGGCCAGGCTGTCCACACTCTTGATGGTGTCGGAGCGCTGGCTGCAGCTGGCCGAGATGGGGTTGGAGCTCTCCAGGCTGCTGTGCAGGGGGGAAATGGAGAAGTCATGCTGGGGCTGGGAGGGCACGGCGCTGGGGTTGCTCAGGATGCTCATCACCTGCGGGGGGGGGGGAACGCAGGATGTTAGAAATTTGGAAAATTGAGGATCAAAGCATTGACAGAGTTGAGGGAAAGTACTTTTTCCTTGCAAATATAGAGCCATCCCAGCCCTTCACGGTGAAGATGCCAATGGAAATATGGCATTTCAACTTTGAAATAGGGAATGGGAAAACTTCCCCCGTCTTTTATTTTTTATTTTTTTTAAAAGAGCAGGGGGAAGGATACAAGGGGGGTGATGAGGTTAGAAAAAGGAGAAAGGGAACAAGGGAGACTGTTTCCATTAGCTGGAGCTGCCAGTAAGTGTTCTGCTGTGGGACAGAAGGGTCCCAGGGTGATAATAGACCCACCATCCGTGCCAGACAGCCCCTGTCCCAGAGCCTGAGGCCTGAGCCCCAGCCTACAGCACAACAAGCACCAAGGGAGTCCCTAATCCTTCGCCCCTAGCCTACCCATCTCATGAATAGTAATGGAGTTGGAACTGGTAAATGATCCCCTCAGATCCCCACACATAGTAGGCTCCATAAACCTCACTGAGGGGCCCGTTGATACTGCAGGTTGAGGATGGCCTGAATATCACAGTGTGTATATTATTCATAGTGCATAAAAGCTTCCAATTCAATATTCTAGATTAATGTAATAGCATGTGACACTCGTCAGAAGAAGGTCTCAAAATATGTTAAAATGGAAGAGATTACCTCCAGTGCTACTTCAGTCTGAAGCGCAGCGGGCCAGAACACTGTGAAAAATTTTGTTTTCTTATGCTGCGAGTTTCTTTAAGTGAAAAGGAGAAGTGGAGTGTGTGTGTGTGTGTGTGTGTGTGTGTGTGTGTGTGTGTGTGTGTGGGGGGGGGGGGGTGATAAAAAAAAAAAAGGGAATTATCCCACACATGCTTCCCTCCTATAGCAGGGCCGGCTTCCCCTCAACATCAGGTTCATGTTGAGTTTTGCTATGCTGCAATGCCCTTTGGCCCCTCGGCTGCTAAACCAATTAGCCCATCATGGAGGTGGTTACACAGGGGTGATATACACGCACACATATGTTTGCATGCATGAACCGACACATGCATGCACACACACATATGCTGCAAACACAGAGGCAGACGAACAGTCCATAAATTATGCACTTAGCCTGGAATATCTTTGAAAATAAACCATTTTCTGCAAATTAATCAAATCTTAAAGAAAAAAAAAAAAAAAAAAAAAGGCCTCCCAGGAAATAAAAAGCACATCAGAATCATAAAGGCTGTTTAGTCATTTCCACATGTTAATTCTATCAGTATGGAAACCCCCACCCTGCCCCGTCCCCTCCACATCTGCAGACAGAGCATGTGACATGTATCCATAAGAGGGAGATTCATTGCCCTCTGCATGCCGGACACATGTGATGCTCGCTCACATATGGAGCCAAGGAGGAGAAGGATGAGGAGAACATGTCCTGATGATGTGTGGTGGCTGAAAGTATAAAGAGCAAGCAGGGAGGGGGGAGGGGCTTGTAAAGTGTCCTGAGAGACAGCTTGAGGGCATGAGTCCAATTTAGTCATTGGTTAATTGAACCTTGATTACATCGCTTCCATGAAGAAGAATAGCCAACAATTTGGACGAACATTATTCATGCTCATAAAAGTTCTTCAAAAGAAAATGACTTCTTATCGGCGACATTGGACCAGCTTTACTATTTTTAAACTGAGGAGGATGGGTCTGTCTTTATTGTCTGACAAGTACTGTCATCTGTTAGGACATCACTATCCTTCAGCCTTCCTTCCTGAAAGAGGACAGTGTCACAATGATTTGAGTTTAGCTTACAAGAAGAAGGTGAGCTCTTCTCTCTTATTAACCCGTGCATCAGTTCTCACTATGTAAGTAAAGAAATCAATGCTGCTTCACAGCTGTCTTCTCAATCTGAAGAAGGTACAGATGCAAGCGACCTTATAAATGTAAGGGTTGATTTTTTTTACATTATCCATCCATTGAGCTTTATTGCATAGTTTCCCCCTCTGCCTCAGCAAAGTTATCTTGCCACAACTTAAGGGTTAAATAATACTTATGCTTGGAAAGAACATTTGCAGCTGTATAACTTTGTGTAGTATTACATTCAAAAATCGTTTTGGAATCTGCTTTTCGATTAACTAGCTTTTAGTTGATGCAATATTTGATTCAATTTCACAAGATGGGGTCTTGTGCATCAGGATGTTACTGAAGTTAAAATGTCATAGAGGTGCATTAAACATGACTTCTGGGGTTTAAATTGGTTCAAAATGTAAGAGCTAAGAAAAAAAAAATCCCAACAACCACATTAATATTTCCATAACATACTCTGTGGACTTTTGCAGAGAAGACCCCCCCCCTCCTCTTTCCTTGCACACAGCGTCCTCAGCAGCCCAGAGTTCGTTTGTTGTTCGACGTTGTGTGAGTGCTGGTTTGGGAGATAATGTGAGCCAGGACCTAGTTTAAAGGACAATGCTCCAGGGCGTTCCCTGCCTCCCCCCACCTCCTCCTCCTCCTCCCCCCTTCACCCTCTCCTTCTCCCTTTTTTCCACTCCCTCTCTCCACAGATAGATTACTTTATAAATAATAATAAAAAAGTAATTAATTCTCTCAACTTCTGAGCCCTCCAGCCTGTGGCGAAGTGAATGGGGAAGTGCAAATTGATACAATGTGCATCCTTTCAGATAAATAAATAGCGCACTTGAGACACAAAAAGGGCCTTTCATAACTCCCTAATTTCTTCAACAGTCAAATTACATTTTTTTTTGTCTGCGGGAATGTTTGACGAGATGTTCTTTGTTCGATTTCTTCTCCAGAATAAAACAATGTGACGGAGACCGAGCTGAGAGAAAGACGGAGTGAAACAGGAACACATAAAAACAAAAACACAAGGGGGTAAAAAGTGCAGATGTGCTGAAATACCTCTTTTTTTCAGGCACATTGGGTCCATACATGCTAACTTTAAAATATCATGAATACCAGACATTTCCATTTCAGTCTTTACAAACAGTCTTTTCTAATGTGAAGCAATCCGCTAAGACATTTCATGTAGTGCTGCGTTGAATTCTATTTTTTAAAAGTTAGCATTAAAAGTCTATCCAGCTATCTATGGAGGAAAAAAGTGACTTTGAGGACTGCTAAAATATAAAAAAGACTGTCTGAACAAAAAAACAATATATATAAATCATTGTGAAAAGTTGCAATTTTGTGCAATTAGACAATCAATATTGTGCATTACGAATTCTAAGGCATTTAAGGCTTTTTATTGTAAGAATTTAAGGTTTAGTGTTCCACAAATCTGGGACTTAAGTCACTTTTTATATTTAGTTTCTGATTGCATCTTTTTGTGTCCGTTTATGTACCTTTAAGAAAGAGTGGGACAATAGCTTTGCACTGAAACAACGGAAACACAAATGTAAAGAGAAGAAATCTAGCAGTGTGAATATGATCGCCTATACAGCGAGGGCGAGGGGGCAGAGGAGAAAGTGATACACAGTGAGTGAGGGGAAAGTGGAGGCTTTGCGAAGTACAAAGACTCCTGTAGGACTGCGCTGGCCTGAGGGCTAGCCTGCCTGGAGAGCTGATAGGAGCCCCTTCTGTTCCATTCCCGGCGCCAGCGCCAACACACCCCACTCCACAAATACTCTTAATCTGCACAGGACTGGATTAGTTCCTCTGTCACCGATAGCTCCCTGTTCTGCCCGAATCAAAATGCCCCCGAGATGTACCTTTAAGTTAGGCAGAGGTCACCAGGGCAGACGGGGAAAAATGAGCACTCCAAATGTCTGTAAGTTATCTGAGCGCTGCAGAATAGCATCTTGCACCTTAGCAGATGAGCCGGGCTGATACTCGCTGCAGCAGAGAGTGATTAAAGATCCACAGTGATGACACTGAATTTCAGATCAATATTTGAAGGCCAGTCCTGAGGGTGTGATTACCGAAAGAGAATAGTGTTGAAATCTGTGACCTGAAGTCACACAGATCCAATGTCTGGAAAGTGTCTGACATTGAGAAGACCTGGAAAAATAAATAAAGATTTTTTGAATAAAGAAAAAATCATGAGAATCATCAAAGAATGTAGCTATTTACTATGTTAACGTAGCAAATTCACCGTATTTATCTGTGCCTCAAATCTGCATTAATTTTTTTTACAAAATCCTGAATAACCTAAAATTAAACAACCATAAAATAAATAAATAATAAATGAAAATATCAGGGTCCCCCCCACCACCTAACCCTCAAAGTCAGACGACTCTTGCTACCCCCATGTTCCTCCCTTCCCCCCCATCCCTCACATGAGAGGGCCGGCCCAGCGGGCAGTAAGGCCCCTCATCTAAGCAGACAAAATGACTATTTAAAAATAACAGTGATTGCATAAATTGAATTAAAGCGTTTTGGTCACGGGTGGAGGTGGCGCGCGGGGTGGCGTGGGGGCCTCAGCAGCAGCAGCAGACGGCTGGGGACAGTGGCAGGCAGCAGATGACGGGCTCTGGCCTGCATGCCACTGCCTTAATTGGCTGCGGCACATTAATAAAAAGTGAAAAGTGTCTTCCACAGAGCACCATAGGATGAAGGGACAGAGGCAGAATGAGAGGTAGAAATAAAAGGGGGGGAGGGATGTTGGAGAGGGAGAGATGGGCCTTTGAAGAATGTGGTGGATATGGGGGGGTTGGGAGGAGTGGGGGTGCTAATTGTGTTCAATTAATGGGCTGATTGGCACTGACAGAATCTGGGCATTGACAAGTCAGGCACAGATGAGGATGATTAGCGGGCAGTGGAACAAGCTGTCACTCCTCACAACATGTTAGCCGTCCTATGCCTGTGTGTATTATCCCTGTGCTAAATACTAATGCACAGGAAGAGGAGACTAAAACAAGCAGGAATTGACAAAATATTGCATTTAATTTTTGGTTTTGACAAAACTTTTTCTCTCTCTCTCTTCAAATTTTATGAAGCCAAATCCTTATAAGACCGCTGTGACTTATGGCAGCTTTAAGTGTTCAAAAAAGCACAG